ATTTAGTGATGCTTTGCCTAATGAATGCTTTCTCCTAAGATCTAGAACAAGTGTAGGATGTCTGTATTTACCATTCTTATTCTGTTATAATACTGGAAGTTCTGGCCAGTTCAGTAAGGCAAGAAAAGGAAACCAAACACATACAGATCAGGAAGGAAAAAACATGTCTACCCTTATTTGTATATAACACATAGAAAACCTCACAGCATCTATGGAGGGGGCAATTTTTACTGTCAAAGGTTTAAATGTAACACAACAACAAAGGATTTATAGGCTGCAAACTACAAATAGTGATGAAAGAAATCAAAATCTAAATAAATGGAGACATACCGTGTTGATAGATTGGAAGACTCAACATAGTAAAAATTTCAATTCTCCCCAAAGGTTTAATGCAATTCCTATTAAAATCCCAGCAACATCTTTCTGTAGACATAGAAAACATTTGGATTTCATCAGGAATGGTGAAATAGGAACTCTTAAAATCCTTTCCTCCTTAAAAACAACAAACCATGACAAAAATGGCCAAAATTGACTCTTTATAATTGATTGTTTGCAGGAATCATGGACATGTTCACTGAAGAAAAATGGCTGAGTCCTAATAAAAACAGAAAGCGTAATAGCTTTCTGAACATCTCTTATTCCCAAAGTCCTCTTTTCCATTTCTGTGGTAGCCTTGAAAAGAAAGAACTTACAACCACAGTGAAAACTAGTAGCTTAGCAACAACTGGAAAAATATGAACAATAGATTCTTTAGGAGCTTCATTTTTGTAAGGCTTGGTCATCCCTTTACTTGTAGGGCCTATGTTAAGAGAACTGAACTAAATTGAACGGTAGGAAAACTACTTAAGGTTAGAGAATCAGAGCTGTATGAAGAAATAACTACAAATCATATCCATGACTTCCAGTGAGGCAACAGAACTATGTAAGAACAGTATTTTATATTATTGATATTATGGTGATGTTAATCTGTACTATATTGGTATAAATTAATATTGAATTAGAGGTAAGAGGTATGGTTCAAGCAGTAGAAAGCCAGAGAAATGGAGTTCAAATCCAGTACCAAAAAAAGAAAAGACAAAAAAGAATCAAACAAACGTGGATACTAGTAAGAGGGAGTTGGACTAATGGAGGTAAAAGAGAGTAAGAGTTTGGGATATTGTAAAAATAGATTAGCAGCAAATAATGGAACCTCTTGGAATTATATTACAAAGAGGGGAGAGATGTTAGGCAAAGTGATGGGGGCACTGATGGAATACTTCCCAAACATGTGGAACTGTCACAATTAACTCATCCCATGTACGCCTTGTGTCTGCTAATAACAAAATAAGTAAAGAGAAAACGTAGCATTTTTTTAAGAGACACAAGAGCAGCATGTGCCAGACCTTAAGTTAAACTCCAGTGCCACAAAAAGGGGGAAAATTCTAAAACATTTAGCAAAGTGTGGTGATGTCTACCTTTAAGGCAAACACAGGAGGCTAAAGCAGTAAGATCAAGAATTTGAGATCATCACAGTGAGACTTTGTCTCAAAATAAAGATAAATTAAAAAAAATTTAAATCCAGAAAATATATATTAACATGAAGGAAATAATAAAGAATACATCTTAGCAAGATGGTACATATAAAAGCTACGTTATCAGCAACTAGAGTAATTGTAAATACTCTAGTTTAAAAAATAGCCAGGAACTCATGTCTATGTAATCCTAACTACTCAGGAAGCTGAAGATCTGAGGATCATGGTTTGAAGCCAGCCTGGGTAGGAAAAGGAGCTACAGCTCAAATGGTACAATCCTAGCTTTGAGCAAAAAAACTCTGGGACATAACCCAGGCACTGAGTTCAAACCCCAGGACAGGCACCCCCCCAAACTACAACAACAACAACAAAAACTCCCCAACATTTTCCAACTATCTAATGTTTACTAGACACATTTTAAATTTAGTCACAGAAGTTTAAAACACAAGTCAAAATACATAGTCAAAACAGAACTTTTCTTCTTCTAGTAATCCTCTTACAGTAAAAGGCATTACTCTTAATCAACTGTAAAACCAAAAAGCTAGTTATCATTTCGTGTGTGTGTGTTGGGGGAGGGGGTGTGGGGGGGGTGTTGGTCCTAGGACTTGAACTCAGGATCTGGATGCTGTCCCTAAGCACTTTTTTATTCAAGGCTAGTGTTCAACAACTTGAGCCACAGCTCTACTTCCAGCTCTTCTTGTTTGGTGGTTCACTGGAGATAAAAGTCTTATAGACATTACTGTGATCCTCAGATCTCAGCCACCTGAGTAGCTAGTATTACAAGTGTGAACTACCAGTGCCTGATCCTCAGCAGGATCCTCAGCCCGGGTAGGAAAGTCTGTGAAACCACCAGAAAACCAGAAGTGGCGCTGTGGCCCAAGCAGTAGAGTGCTCGCCTTGAGCTGAGAACGCAGGGACAATGCCCAAGCCCAGAGTTCAAGCCCCAAAGCCCCAAAGAATAAATACATGCCAGGCACCAGTGACTCATGCGTGTAATCCTTGCTACTCAGGAGGCTGAGATCTAAGGAACTCGGTTCAAAGCCAGCCCAGGCAGGAAAGTCCATGAGACTCTTAACTCTAACTACTAGAAAACTGAAAGTTGCACTGTGGCTCAAGTAGTAGAGCATTAGCCTTGAGCAAAAAAGCCAAGGGACAGCACACAGGCCCTGAGTTCAAGCCCCAGACCTATAAAAAACAAAAACAAAAACCAGAATACTGTTCCTCCCCAGATTAGAAACTTTCAAAGTCTTTTCATGGTTTCTCAGTACATTTAAAATCAAATTCAAATTTCTTTTATTTTTTCCATTATACTGATTTACCTACTGATCTATCCCTACTTCTCAGAGGTTACTTCTTAGGAGCAATACTGACCCAATAAGACACCGAGGCAAGACTATGTAAATGCTGACAAAAAACAATTTTTAACTTAAAATTCTGTAACTGGTTATATTAACATTACAAAGTGGAGATGAGATCTTTACAGACACACCAAGATTTTAAAAATCTACCACTATAGATCTTCTATTACATCTATAAGAGACATAATCTAACAGAGAAAAAAATAAAAGAATCCTCTACACCTCTTTAGAAGAAATTAAGCAACCTGATCAAATAAACCACTAAAACATATGCACAAAGTTTACATGAATGACATCAGTTAAAAAAAGATAACATTTTAAGTAATAACTTAAACTACTTTAGGTATTAACATAGAAGAGGAAATACAAATATGCTAGAGATTTTTGTCTTAATCAAATAAAGCATAAAAATACAAACTTCTAATTTTCATTAAATCTGTCATTTATAATTGTTAGAATTAGGTCTGGGAATGTGGCTTAAAAGGAGAGTGTTTGCCTCACATGCATGAAGCCCTGGGTTTGATTCCTCAGTACCACATATGCAGAAAAGGCTAGAACTGGTTCTGTTGCTAGCCTTGAGCAAAAGAAGCTCAGGGATAGTGCTCAGGTCCTAGGGCTGGCCCAAGGAAAAAAAAATTAAACTTATAAGCAATAGTAAGAATAGAACCCACAATATGTAACATCTAAAGATGGAATAAGAAAGCTTAGATGAACAACAGAAAGCAGAAAAGAGATTAAAAGAAATCAAACAAAAATTGTTGGTAGAAAACGTGTTTATTTTACTATCAGAATGTCAGTTTTTGTTTTGAAAATTCAAAATAAAAGCCAGATAACAGACAAAGCAAAGAAAATTTCTACGTAGAAACACAAAACAAAGCTTTGGGTGAAGCACAGTGATACATGCCTGCAATCCCAGTTACTTGGGAGACTGTGCCAGAAAGGATCATAAGTTGAGGCCAGACCTATAAGTTAGGGGCTGAGGTATAAACTCAGTGATAAAATGCTTGCCTAGAATATGAAAAGCTCCTTAGTACTATAAAACAAACAAAACCAATAAAGCTGTTGGGTCTAATGGCTCGTGCCTATACTGTTAACTACTAGGGAAGGTGAAGTTCGGAGGACTGTGGTTTGAAGCCAGCCATGGTTTATTAGACTACATTTTAAACAAGTTGGGTGCTGTGATAGACATTTTTCATTCCAGCTATTTGAGAAACATAAACAGGAGGATCATGCCTAAGCTAGTCTGAACACAAAGCAAGGCACTATTAAATAAATAAATAAATGGGTTGGAACGTGACTGAGGTAATAGAGCACCAAGTCCAAAGCTTCAGTATAGCCAAAGCAGGACCTCCCCCAATTTTTGAAATCTAGGTAGCAAAACCTAATATACTTACAAGGAAACCCAAAATAGTCCACACTTACACGAGATCTCGACAGTTGGTTAAAAAAGAAAAAAGTAAAGCACCTGAGAAATAGTAAATCTGTTCTACCATCTATCTAGCTATCTTTGTGTGTATATATGTGTATGTATAATCTCTAAACCCAAAGACAGAAGCTTCTTTTCAAATATATGTACAAAAGCCAAATATTCAATAAAACTCCTACATGTCTCAAAAAAAAATCCCAAAGCCATAAAAGCTACATTTATTGATTACAAAGTAGTAAATTCAAACTTCTATATGTGAGGTTAAACCAAAAGACAGCTTAAAATTCTGTATCTATACTTTAGAGGCAGAGCTCTGAGGTAAAATATATGCCTAACATGATGAGATTCCAGGTTCTCCAGCACTCTAAAAGATGTTTCTTTGTATTGTTATAGCAATACAATTTTACCTATAGAAATTTAAAAACGAAGAATTTCTCTAAATAACCATAACTGAATGAAATCAATATTAAAAAACCTTATCAGCACAGGTGAGAGATAGCCATGTGAGTAACTCTGAGACATTTTCCCCAATTATCTTCTGCACAACTACTAGGAAATCTCAAGTTTCCCATACAGAGTAAAATGCAAAACAGAGAATAAAGAGGACCCAGGACAGTTCTTAAATGATCATCTGATCTGTTGTCCTGACCAGAAAACAAAAGCTAGAAAGAATTAAGGTAATAAAACTTCAGCAAAAAGTCTTACATTTTTATCTTTCCTTTCAATAAATTCTTGCTTTTGTTTGCATTTTTGTGATGTCTCCTTAATGTTTGTTGCCTGTAAGATTGAATCAGAGGGAAAAGTTAGTTAATAAAACTGTGAGTTAAACTTACAATACTGTGCTTTTTCACCTTTTATTTCAAAACAAATTCATAAGTATCATCAAAAATACTAATAGTATTGAAAATCTACAAAATTTTATTCTCACTGATACTGAAAACAGCTGAAATAGCCAGTCATGATATCTATAATCCTAATTACGTAGGAGGCAGATAAGTGGAGGGCCATGGTTTGAGGCCAGTCTGAGCATAAAATACTACATTCAACAAAAGGCCAGGCTGGGCAGCTTATGCCTGTCATTCCAGCTACATGGGGGAGAACAAACAGGAAGATCACAATCTAGGCTATCTACAAAATCTGATTTCAGAAATAACCTGCTGGCACAAGTGGTTCTTGCCTGTAATTCTAGCTTCTCAGCAGGCTGAGATCTGAGGATCTCAGTTTGAAGCTAGCTAATTTAATAAGACTCTACCTCCAATTAATCATCAAAAATGTGGAGGTGTGGCTCAAGAGGTAGAGAAAAAAGCAGCTCAGGAACAGTGCCTCAGGACTAGCACCAAACAAAACAAACAGAAAAACTATACAGCCAGGCACTGGTAGTTCAAGTCTGTAATTCTAGCTACTAAGGATGCTAAGACCTGGAGGATCTCATTACAAACCCAGTCCAGGCAGGAGAGAGAACAAAAGACTCCATCTTCAATAGGCTGTAGGAATGGCTCAAGTGGTAGAGCACTAGTCAAACAAGTCAAGTTCAACTCGCAGTACAAGAAAAATACAAAACCAAAAAATATATATATAGTAGTACAAAAATGGCTCGAAGAGTAACTCAAGAGGAGTAGAGAACCTACCTGCCTATGAAGCATGAGACCTAAATTCAAACTCTAATACTAGCAAAAAAAAAGCATACATACATACATACATATACATATATATATACATACATTATATATATAGATATATATATAATAGATATTCTTCAAAAAGCTAAAGTACCCCAAACTATGTAGATTTCTTTCTTTCTTTCTTTTTTTTGGTCAGTCATGGGGCTTGAACTCTAGGCTTGGGTGCTGTCCTCCCTCAGCTCTTCAGCTCAAGGCGAGCGCTCTACCACTTGAGCCACAGCACCACTTTTGTTTTTTCTGGTGGTTTAGTGGATATAAGAGTCTCAAGGACTTTCCTGCCTACACTTGCTTTGAACCATGATTCTCAGATGTCAGCCTCCTGAGTAGCTAGGATTACAGGTGTGAGCCCACCAGCGCCTAGCTACTATGTGGATTTCTAATGAACAAATTAAATTCATAGATATTTAACTAGTAACTAGATTTATCTAGGTAACAATATCTATTAATCCCTTCTTGCTCTAAAACATAAAATGATCAATAGTAATTTTCTTTTAGAATCAAGTCCAACCAAATCCTAAAATCCTATTTATTCTCTTAGCTTTTATGGAAACTCTTTCCACCTACTTTAACTAGTGTAGAATCTTAAGTATAGTGGAGTTTTTCTGACATAGTAATGACAAAGTCAAAACTAGTCACTCTTTTCCTCTGTTACAAACTTTACATTCCTAAAGATGGCCTTTTTTTGCTCAGTAAGCATGTTCAATATTTGTAGTTAAGAAAAGTATCTGGTATTATAGCTCAAAAAAAATCAATCTTCTGATTTATAGGCTCCCTCAAAAGGAAAAGCACAGGGCTGGGAAGATGGCTCAGTGGTAGAGTGCTTGCCTTGCATGCCTGAGGCCCTGGGTTCGATTCCTCAGCACCACATAAGCAAAAAGAAAA